GTACGAGGCTCGGGGTAAAATCGGCTACGAAATCAGCAAGGATTTGTGACTTGATGGCCATTCGGGGTTGATGTTCGATATCGTACCCGCTAAGTTCGACAGCCCATTTGGCCAACCGGCCTGATAGCTCGGGTTTATGCAAAACATTTCGAAGGGGGTAAATGGTTAATACACATATGGGATGACACTGAAAATATGGCTTTAGCTTTCTAAATGCGCTTATCAATGCAAGTGCTAATTTTTCTAAGTGAGGGTATCTAGTTTCAGCATTTCCTTGAGTTCGGCTTACATAATAAATAGGGAATTGCGTACCTTGCTCTTCTCGAACTAGTACCCACTTATCGCTATCTCGGATACTGCCAAATATAAGTAAATCTTTTCATCTACCTTTGGGTTGTGAAGCAAAGGCGGGCTCAATAAGTATCGCTTAAATTCTTCCAAGGCTTGCTGGCATTCTGGGCATGCGAAATCCTTTCTCTTTTTTAGCAAGGAAAAGAACCTATGACTTCGATCCGATGACCTCAAAATGAACTGACCCAAGGCAACTATTCATCCTGTTAGCCTTTGCACGACCTTAACACTATCCACAACCGTGATATCCTCGATGGCCTTGATCTTGTCGGGGTTAATTTAGATACCCCGATTCGACACCATGAAGCCGAGGAACTTACCCGAGCCAACTCGGAAGGCACATTTTTTTGGGTTAAGCTTCATGTTATACTTCCTCAAGAGTTTGAATGTTTCCTACAAATGAGTTAAATGGTCCTCTGTGCACAGGAACTTAACCAACATATCATCAATGTAAACTTCCATCAATTTACCTATCTGTTCCTCGAACATTTTGTTAACTAGGCGTTGGTATGTAGCTCCTGCATTTTTAGCCCGAAGGGTATTACCTTGTAACAATAAGTTCCAAATTTAGTGATAAACAAGGTCTTTTCCTAGTCCTCCGGGTTCATTTGAATTTGATTTTACCTGGAGTAGGTGTCGAGAAAAGTTAGGATCTCATGTTCGGTCGTGGCATCGATCATACGATCGATTTTGGCCAGTGGGAAAGAATCTTTTGTGCATTCTTTGTTTAAATCCTTGTAATCTACGCACATTCTAAGTTTGTTTCCTTTTTTAGAAACTACAACTACGTTGGCTAACCATTCGGGGTATTTTACCTCCCGAATAGACCTTATTTTAAGAAGCTTGGTTACCTCGTCCTTTATGAATGCATGCTTCACCTCGGACTGGGGCCTCCTTTTTTTCTTTACCGGTCTGAACCTAGGGTCGAGGCTTAACCGGTGTGTTGTTATTTCCGGTGGAATCCCAGTCATATCTAAATGGGACCAAGTAAAGCAATCCATATTATCAAATTGAATGAGTTTTTTCCTGAGTTCGGGGGTTAATCCTGTTCCCAGGTATACCTTTCTCTCGGGCATTTATTCGATCAGTATGACCTGCTCCAGTTCCTCAACCGTTGACTTGGTTGCATCGGACTCTTCGGGAACAACGAAAGTGCGAGGAGTAAGGAAATCCTCTTCTTCGTCTTCGATTACCTATTGGTCCGATTCCGTCGAGGCTGGGGGAGGTGATTACTATTTGGCCGCCTGCTTACCTTTGGTGTTCGACTTTTCCAAGATCTAATACTTTGGTATCAGCGTCACTTCATCGACTGCAAATATTTCCTTTGCAGCGTTTTGCTCTATATAAATCGTTTTCACATCATCCTTTGTTGGGAACTTCATCATCTGATGAAGAGTTGAAGGTACCGCCCTCATGTAGTGTATCCATGGTCTCCCGAGGAGTGCATTATACCTCATGTAGCCTTCAATGACATGGAATTTAGGTTCTTGTATGGTCCCGACTACGTTTATTGGTAGGATTATCTCCCCCTTTATTGTTTCGCTTGCCATGTTGAAGCCATTTAGGACCCGGGATGCAGGTACAATCTGATCCTGTAGGCCGAGCTGTTCTACGACCCTCGATCTAATTATGTTTGCTGAGCTACCTGGATCCACTAGAACACATTTAACTTGAATTTTACTTAAAGAGCAGAAATTACCAGGGCGTCATTGTGCGGCTGAGATATGCCTTCTGCTTCCTCGTCATAGAATGATAGGACGTCCTCGGGCACATAGCTCCGAGTTTGTTTTTCTCTGACGATCGACACCTTGGTGCGCTTGAATACAGGTCCTTGTGGGACATCGACACCACCAACGATCATGTGGATTACATGTTGTGGTTCTTCCTACTCGTTTTTTCTGCTTGCATCTCTCTCCTTGAAGTGATTCTTAGCGCGATCACTGAGAAATTCTCGAAGGTGACCCTCATTGAACAACCGAGCTACCTCCTTCCTTAGCTGCCTGCAATCTTCGGTTCTATGGCCATGTGTGCCATGATACTTACACATCAAGTTTGGATTCCTTTGAGAAGGACCGGCTTGTATAGGCCTGCGCCACCTGGTATCTTTGAATCTTCCAATAGTTGACATAATCCCTGATGCATCGACACTGAAATTATACTCCGACAATTGAGGTGCCTCCGCGAGGTCGGTATGTTTATCGAACCCATTCTTACTCATGAGTCCCCGAGAGCTTTGACCTAGATCGTTTCTCCGATCATTCCGAGGAGCATTACGACCCGAACCGTTGTTTCTCCGATCGACATATGGCTGATACCGTTCCTTGTTTGATCTTGATTCCCTGTCTGTATCCCTCGGGGGCTTTCTGCCAATCTATTAGGATGAACTGAACCCGAGGGGTCTCCCAACTGGTCGTCATCAACCCTGATCTTCGATTGATAACGATTACGCACGTCTGACCACGTCACAGCTGGATAACTCGATTATATTCCGCTTCAATTGTCAAGACGTGATCGAACTCCATTCATTCAAACCTTGCATAAAAGCCTGTACTGCCGAGTCATCCGAGACCGGTGGTAATTCCATTCGCTCCATCTGAAACCTGGACACGAACTCCCTTAACATCTCGTCGTTCCTCTATTTTATCTTAAAAATGTCCGATTTCCTCGTTGCCACCTTTATGGCCCCGGCGTGTGCTTTCATGAAGGCATCTGCTAATATAGCAAACGAATCGATAGATTTCGGGTGCAAGTTGTGGTACCAAATCATGGCACCTTTCGACAAAGTTTCCTCAAATTTTTTCAGCAATACTGACTCAATCATCATCATTCAGGTTGTTTCCTTTAATCCCGCAAGTATATGAGGTAATATGCTCATTAGGGTTGGTTGTCCCATTATATTTGGGTATATCGGGCACGCGAAACTTTTTAGGAATGGGCATCGGAGCCGCACTCTGAGGGAATGGTTTTTCTATGAACTTTTTGGCATCTAAACCTTTCAGGACCGGGGGTGCCCTCGGTATTATGTCAACACAGGAGTTATAAGTTTCCACCTTTTTGTCATTGTCTTCAATCTTCTTTTCCCCAGACTCGGTCCTCTTGGTGAGCTCTTGAAGCATTCTCATAATGGTGGGGTCAGTCCCCAAGCCATTTTCGTTTGACTTCTCTGGTGCCGGCTCAGCACATCGAGTGTTTTCTGGTTCAGCTATACTCGGAGTTTTATTCTGACACTGAAGTTGAGCGATGGTAATCTGCTGAGCTTGCAGCATCTCGAATATCACCTGGAGGCTGACTCCCCCATCTCTTATACCTTGTGTTCCTTGGCCCCCAGATCGGGCTTCCCTGCGTACACTTCCTCCGGGGTTTGCGCCTAAATTTGCATTCAAAGCAATGTGCGAACTAACATCAACTGGTTCCACATTTGGCATTTCCCTAAGGTTCATTGGTGGTACACCAACCCCTACATTGTTGTTTTTCCCATCAAGTCCAAGACCTTCGTTGTCGTGAACATGTGCGTTTTGCGAGTTTGACATGTTTAATCCTGAGAACAAAAAATCTTGACAAGAATAAGTGTGAAAATAACGTGTGTTATCAGAACCAGTACTGAAATAATCACTATTATCTTTAGCCCCACGGTGGGCGCCAAACTGTTTACCTCGAAAATACGAGTAACAATTAAATTTGATTTGTGGTTTTAAAGATATGTGATTTAGTTCAATACCAATTAATAATCAAGAAATATAACATATAAATGAAAGAAATGAGTGAAAACTGGTGTTACTAGGAAGTATCGATCTCGAGCCCAGTGACCTCGAGATGGATTAAGAACAGTAAAACAAGAATAGTAAAGCTAAAGAATAATTCTGATGAACACTGAGTGAGAAAAGTAAGAGAGTATATTATTTGCCAATGATTAGATGATGTTTGCAAATGATTGGGGTCACCTTTATATAATAGGGGAACCCTAAATAAGGTACATTTCCATTTACAGTAAAGAATCTTATTGGGAGAGCTGTCTAACCGCCTAGTACGGATTCGTACAAATCTATTTCGGGATTTACGACATGATCTTGGGACGTGGCAGGAATCTTGCTCATTCTGTTACAAATCCGTAACGGCATTATCTCGGGGTTGAGCATACTCAGCTTCGATACTTATTGTACTTCGATCCTCGGGCATTGCACTCTATCTTCGAGAGCTCAAGTCTGGTCCATCGAGCTCGAACTCGACATTGCCTGAGCTCGGGCTTATGGTGACCCCTCGAGCCCGGGAAATCGGGCATACCTGATTTCGACCGTATACATTATTATACAAGAATCACCTCATCATCGATGTTCTTCTATTTATTTTCCACAGAATAAACATATGAATGGATCTTATGTCGCTTTTTTTTTTTTTTAGCATTGATATTAAAATAACTGGCTTTATAGGTAAATATTTACAAATACTGCTTATAAAAAATTCAAAAGATATCTAGCTGGTAAAGTGTCAAACTCATGTGAGACGCGCTGCGTTTTGTCTTGATTACCATTTAAAAGAAAAGAAATCATATCTTGTCACTTACTAACTAAGTGAGTTCGTTTGATTTTCACCATAAATGAAAATTTAAATCAAATTCTGAATTAAACGAAAATAAACGTAGTCTTATTGGCTCAACTGAACTTGGTAAAGTAATTTTTCATCATTTAGCAAGAAACGAGAACTTTTGGACGCTTGAATAGTCACACCTCACAGAGAGCACGTGATCAAAACCTCTAGCTCCACTCATCAAACAAAAAGATACATTTGACCCTAATTAAAACACACAACGATATCCAATCTTGGATACATATTAATAATCTTCAACCTAGTTAGTTGCCTAAACAGCACACCTGAATTTGGACAACATGTCGTTGACAAGAATGTCTGTCATACGACGATGAGCTTCGTCTGTCAAATGAATTCCATCCCAGTGCACGTATCTAGCCGGATTCGAACAAACATTGATCCCAGCAGCTCCACACACGGACCTAAAGTTAAAGTTATACCGCCCTCCAGTTCCACAACACGCACTAAGCAACGTGTTCTGGTCAAATCCAAAGGAAGAAGCACTGCGCATAACTGTCAAAAGGGAACCATAGAAATCCCCGTACACAATGCTAACATTCGGGAATTCTCGCTGCAGATTCGCGATAGCCCTGCTCACGTATCTATTATGATACGAAGCGAAGTCATTGTAGTTCCTCAAGCAACCCATTTGGTCGTATGCGCCTGTATTATTGTCAGGAAATGATGTTAGATAAAGCGGCAAGCACCCGAGTGGGTAAATTCCTGGAACCAAAAAGCGCGTGGCTCCGAGCTGAATCACATCTTTGATGCCTCTCATAATCCCCGCGACAACGTTAGGAACGTATGTCCTAACTTCTGGGATCTGTTTGTTCTGGAAAAAACCATTGTAGTAATCATTTCCGCCCCATTCCCCCATTACTATCAGAGAGTTTTTGAGAGTCTGCACATCTGGAGCCACAGGTGGACTGAAGATGAGTTTTGAACCAACCTAATTGGTTTGCGAGCGGGGTGTTCCAAGTGGGCAACCGAATGTTTCGGGCAGTCCAGAAGGAAGTGTTGAGGGCTGTACCACCAGCGACGGCGAAATTAACGCCTTGTGTGAAAGCAGCACCCCTGTCCAAGTAAGCATTGAGGAAAGGGAGTTTGAAAGATTTGGTAATAAAGTCGATAATGACACGGCCGTTTGAGAAACGGCCAGTGGGTCTGTTGAAGAAAGTAGAGCCGTAAGGAGAGCGGTCGGCACGGAAAATGATGGAGGCGCCGGGTGTACGGATGACATTACCGGCGTCGGCGAGAGAATCGCCGAGTTGGTACACTGAATTAATGTTGCATTTAGTTTGGGCAGTTGAAGGAGTAAAGAAGAAAGCTGTCAATGTAATGAGTGAAAGGGACAAGGAAATCTGGGTTATTGAAAGAGTAGCCATTTAAGAAAGTTTATGTCTGAAATAGAAATCGGTGTACTATATATAGATAGGTAGGGAAGTTCCTGGCTGCTACTGCTATACAAAAGCGATGGCTTTAGCTGTTCAGTGGCTGTTCAGTGGCTGGTTGTCACTTTGTCTCTCTTTCCCTTTTGTGTTTTTATTTTTGTTTAATGCCAATTGCCAAAAAACAAAGTCTCGTGTTGGCTTTTTGACTGGTCAAGTGGTTGATATTCTACAATGTGGAGCTATGATATGTACAGTTTTTCTTTCCACGTGATGCCCACAGTTCTAAGACAAAATTTAGTACTAATGTCTCAATGTAGGTGAAGGATTTCGGAATATAAGGTTTTAATTTTAAATTGTCGAATCATTGTCAATATCGTCTTTTGCTCTCCTGAGGGGGAAAAAAACAAGGACAATCACATAGATTTATACAAGGGCAAACTTGAGCTAAAAGAGATAAAAGATATTATTGGGGATTATGGATAAAAGAACAAATTAAATACTTTAATCATGATTAGCGTCACGATACGAAATCCTTCCTTAGGAATTCTGATGGTTAGTCTCTTAGACTAGGTAAGCCTTACCCTCTGAGTTAATAACAGAATTTAACCAAAACAACTATTAAACATGAACCATATTTTTCTATATAAAGCCACCAATCCCAACATGATGTACAATCTCCCAAAACCGATAATACAAGTCATAAGCTCTACAGAGTTCACTAGAAAATTTCTAAGTACAACTGTTCCGGAATAGACATAAACTGTACAAAATAAACTTCAGAAGGTGACTCATAGGCCTGCGAACGCAATGATAGGTATACCTTGAAGTCTCCACAGCAATATATGATCAGCCACGTAATGATCAACAAACTCCGAAGTACCTCGATCTGCACAAAAATATGCAGAAAGCGTAACATGAATACACCCACTGAGGTATCTAGTAAGTATCAAGTAACCTCGGTAGAGTAGTAACGAGGAACAGTCAAGACACCTACTAGACATAATAACATGTACAAGTATAAATGTGAAACTAACAGGGAACAATATCAATATGAAGTTAAGCACGGTAGAAACGATAACCGATACTGGTAATAGAAAACTAGAAGACAATTACACTACAAGAAATTTAATTTTTAACGACCACTTCTTAACGAAGGGACATAAACCCGGTCGTTATAAGTATACTTATAGCAACCAATTTTTTTCCCGGTCGTTGAAACTAATTATTAGCACAATATTAAAGAGGGAATAGTATTTGGCCCTTAAAATATAACATAGCCGGTCGTCAAAAAATTAATGAATAAAAATTGGCGCTAATATTTCCCTCTTTTTTCCCAAACCCACGCCTGTATCGCGAACTACCCAAAAAAAAGGAAAAAACCCTAAACTTATTTTGGTAAACGACCTGCTATTTCTCCTGCTGTGAACGCTTATTTTGGTCACTTCCATTGATAACTGCTCAACTTCGAGTTTCTTCTCAGGTGAGGTTCGAAATTGTACCCTTTTATGTTAATTTTAGTTTAGATGAAATCTCAATTCCAAGCCATGGCTTTTCAAATTCAATTTTTAATTTCAAACAGAAAAAGTGATTGAAAAGCTAGGGTTTTAAGGGCAAAATTGTTCTCTGCTCTTGAGTTTTCTTCTTCGATTGTGTGTTCGCATTTCGAATTTCAGAAAAGAAATTACAATTGTACGCCCTATTGATCTTCATTAGTTTCGCTGTTGATTACAATTGTACGCCCTGTTAATCTTCATTAGTTTCGCTGTTGATTACAATTGTACGCCCTGTTGATTTTCTGTTCGCGTTTCGCGTTTCGACTAATATATATATATATATATNTATATATATATATATATATATATATATATATATATATATATATATATATATATATATATATATATATATATATATATATATACACACACATACATATATATTAGTTTCTGCTCTGTTGATGTTCATTCACGGATCTTGCTTGAGTTTGGTTGGTGTTTCGCTGGTTCGGATGTGACTGTTCGAGGATGACGTTCACGGTTCCGAGTTCAATTAGTTGTTTTTTTCCATACTTGAATTTTGGAGTCAAAATCTGTGTAATTGCTGATTTTTCAATTGCTGTTAAGGAACATTTTGCTTAACAAGTCTATTAGTGTCACTCCCTCTCTATTTTATCTAATTAATTGTGAATCAAGCTTCAAAATGAGTCGTTTAAGGATAAGTCGAGTTTGGAGTATAAATTGTTTGGTTAGATAATTGATTTCTTTACGAATTCACTCATTTAACATTAAGTAGAACTTTCTTGTTGATTCTCAGAATTTGTTTTAGAGTTGCCCTTTAAGAGAATATCTTGATAAACATATTAACACGAAATGAAAGGTGATTAATTAATGTTTATGAACAACTAGTGATCGACTTTGCTTCTAAATTAACTAAATTAATTATTATATATATTTTAGCCTTCTGTGTGATTTGCAGATAAGGGGATACTTTCTGCATATGATTAGTAATTAATATTTGTTTGGATAGACTCAACATGCTCATTTCATAGAACAGAACGTTTTAAGGGTGTTCATAACCATGTGTTTAGCGGTTCATAGTCAGAAGATCATTTGTCTGATTAAACCTTCATTAAATGAAAACTATAGTTGCTTGCCTTAATTAAGATTGAGCGTGAGTATGTCTGTTTTAGTGCTCACACATCTGTTGTATCATACTGTTCAGTGTGCACAAATAGGTCTTTCTATTTTCTGTTCTTCAGCAGAAAAGGATTAAGTAGGTCCATGCCTTAGACGAAACTTTTATTCTTTGAAAACATGTACCCATAACACTTTCCTTTGATGATAAGTTGACAAATGATGAGGTATTAAACATGATCAACTGTTTTTCTTACACACGTCGAATCATATGGTATTGGTTATGGTAATTAGGACCTTTTCAGTTTTATGTATGCTTCATATTTTCTTACTGATCACTTCTCTAATACTCATCCTTGTCCAATCTTCTTGAAATACAATATTTTAGTGGCTACCGTTTATTTTTTTTGAGAATGATAACGTGTTCAGTGGCTAACATTTATGATGTTATCAAGATACTAACTTAGCAAAATAAGGCATCATCTTAACTTGGCAACTAATGTTAACTAAGTAGAGAAGGTTTATATAGAATCCAAGCTCCACATTTCCCTCACTATCTATTTCATTGTAGATACATTGTTGTAAGTGATTTTATTGTCCATATCCTATTTGTTTCCCTTAGACCCTTACTTTCCTTTTATTATCCTTTCGGTTGCTCCGTGTCAATCTCTTTATTCACCACCGCTCTCCTAATAATTGTTGTCGGTTTCTCCAACTTCCACCTTCCTTTGGTTCACCACTCTTCCTCTTTTTCTTCAGCGCGGCAGTTGTCATCTTCTATGTATCCATATTTATCTTTGTTTAGGTGGTATCTCTGATAGTCCTCATGTTTTTCCCAGATTTGAAAGTTTGTTCTCTGTCGCTCTCTCACTTATGACCTTGCCTAATTGGCAGAGTTGTAAGTGCTTCATTTACTGGTGCTAAATTCCTATTCCTTTGATCTTGTAAAAGTTGTTCAAATCCACTAGGCATCAGGCCAATATTTTGGCATTTCTTTTGCCGTTACTATCTTAATAAGCACAATGATCTCTGCTGATCCACCTGGTGATGAAATAACAAACATTTTGTCAAGACTTCCAGTCAAAGCTCTCGTGCAATTCAGGTGTGTTTGCAAATCTTGGTTTAATCTTATTAGAGATCCTCATTTTGTTAAGATGTACATGAATCAACATTCATCATATAAGAAAACCTACTTGATAAGTAAAGATATCTTAGATGTTGGGGAAAAAGAATGTTGCACTTTGTACTGTGATGAAACATTTGCCGAGCACAAGAAACTGTAATTTCCTTTGTGGGAATCAACTAAAAGATTTGAAGCCTTTGTGGGAATCAACTAAAAGTTTTGAAGCCCTTTGTGGGAACATCCGCAGTTGCATTCAATGCAACAACAACCTCCAAATCTGAACCTACAGTAGCTGGAACATTTATAGATGCTTCAACATGTCCTGCCCCTGCTACTGTTTGTTGATTATTATCAGTGTTTGCTTTATTCAAAACCTCCTCTTGTATATTTATTCTAGCTCCTGAGGCAGTCATATCAGCTTGTCGATTATGCCTAGAATTAGCACCGTTTACAGCCTTATAAAGCCTTGCCAAGGCTGTAGTAGTAGGAACATCATCTGTAGGTTTAGATTGACCCAAGGAGCTCCAATATGTGATACTGATACCAAGGAGATCCAATCTTGTCCCAAACTGCCATCATTTTGATGATATGAGTTGTTCATACTAGCTGTACAATAGTAACTGCTGGTCTTTAGAAGTTGGTCCGTCTCTGGAAACCATGGCAGTGAATGAGTTCCTGCTGGATTTTCTGTCTGAACCCGAGTCAGAATTAACAGCTACCTCATAGCTCATTTTAAACTTAGAGGAAAAGTTTGTATCTAAGCTGGAGGAAGAGGCTTTAGTCCTACGAGAGAATCCACTACCCAATTGACTTCTACCAGCAAGAGATTTCTCTTTAGGACCAACTGTGGCATTTAGTGCACGCTGCTGCCCAGATTTTGCAACCTCTTTCTCAGCTTGTATTGTCGAACTAACACCCTCCAAAGTTGATACAAGTTGCTGCTGTTTGGATGGTATAAAAGCAGGAACATTTGGACTTAATCCTCTCCTCTTTGGCCCGATGTCTGTGAAATTAAAAAACTGCTCGCCTTGCACCTTTGCTGCCTCGTTCTTTGATGGAGGAGTTGCTGAAAATTGAGCTTCCGCATTGTCATCAGGATAAGCCTGTTTGGACGACGCTGCTGCTGCCCAGTTTTTTGTGTTATTACATTCAAGGTTTTCTGCTTTATTACACTCCACCAACTGCAAATTATGCCCATCAATCTTCCCATCATCATCATTTACATTGCGTCGAGCGGCAGAAAGAGTCGAATTTTTTATGAAGATCTGCTCGACCTGTTGCCCGTTGTTCTTGTCTGGAGTGACTTTTTTGCTGGACACCATTGTCCAAGCTTTCTCATGTAAA